CGTCTTCCCTGCGTCTCCCATCATTTTTCAATTGCCAGTCCATCACAGACCACCATTAACTGTTTATAAAAGCATCATCAAAAACAAGCAAGGGAAATAAAATTGTTTGACCGATGATGTGTCAGTAGAAGGGGCACTCATGACCATATTACAAATCTATCCTAGATCATGGGAAAAAACTACAAGAATACAAGAAAGCCTTTGTGTCAATCAAGACAAGTTGTGGCAAGTCCTAGAAGACTTGCAGGTGACAACACATCTGGCAAGTTGGTGTAGTTGCTGTACACAAATTAGGAAACTATTGTGCCATATGAAAACATGTACTGGTTCAGGATAGAGAAATGAGTGCAGCAAGGTTTTTTTATTCAAAGTAGGCTGAAGTGATCATGAGGAAGCTAGAACTGGAAGAACTGAAAATCAAGAGTAAAAAAATGGATAAAGGATCACTCACAATCTTTGATGTGCTGATGATATAACTCTCCTCTTAGAAACCAAAGTTCTGAAACATCTGGTCAGAACGATTAAAGAAGAAAACAAGAAAATTTGTTCTCTTCCTGAACATTGAAAACAACAAACACAGAACCACTGCAAAAATGGAAATGTCAAAGTAACAATTGATGGTAAAGAGGTCAAAAGCATGCAAGAATTCACTTTCCTACGATTTCAGATTGATCAAAGCAGTGAATGTAGCCCAGAAATAAAGCACTGAATTGCACTGGATTGCTCAGCAATAAACATGATTTGAGTATAGTAAAGCTGGACATTAGCACATCAGCCTGGAACTTAAATGAAGATTAGTTTGCACAATTGTGTTGTCCATATGCATTTGTAGTTGCAAAAGTTGGATCATGAAACAGTCTATTTGTTTGAGCTGTGGTGCTGAAGAAGGCTCCTGCACATTCCTTGAACAAGAAAGATGATAAACCAAAAAGAATATAAAACCAGACTTGTTGCTGGAAACTTAAAAATTCATAATTCCACCTTACTTATTTTGGCTATCAACTTTTTACATATCCCAACCTGCATGTAACATGGTACAGGTTTGCAAAGAAAAAAATTTAATATAGAAGTGCCTCAATTGGCTACTCAAGGTGCACATTTTAAAGATGACAAGTATAATTACAGTAACAGGAAGTCACATAATTTAGAAGAAATGTTCTAAATAAAAAATAATAATTGAAGGTGTGGAATTGCAAAAAAATGAATTGCAATACTTGAATAAACTGAAAAAAGTGTAATCTCTTTACCATCTAAAATAATTACTCTGATTTCCTAGAATATACTCTGCAAAGCTGCAGTTATCTACCGACTGTGCTGAATGATGGCTTGAGCAATCACTATTTTTTCTGCCTCCATTGATTGTAATAACAATGGCAGCAATGAAAACTTTAATACTGCATGCCAAAACATAGTCACATTTGACACCCAAGATAGCAGCAATGTGATTTAGTAATTTCCTTGATATATAGAGAATAATTCAAGTACTTGATTTCAACACCCCACAGAAAAGGGGGACATTACAGTAATACGAGAGAGAAGAGAGGGGAGTAAAAGCTGAATTGCCAATGTTGAATAGAAATAAATGGAAGAACCAGAATAAATGGAATTGTTACATTTAAACATAGTTAGATGGAGATGAAAACTACAAGTGTGTAAAACATTCAATAAGAGGGTTCCAATAAAGAGTCAAGCAAGTACTAACAAACAAAAAATCTATAGGAAATAGCATAAAACAGTAAAGTTAAGACATGGTTCAATAGAATATATTAGGCAAAGAAGTACTCCTCATTTAACAACCATTTGTTCAATGAGAGTTTGAAGTTACGAAGGGGCTGAAATAATGGTAGTTGTGGCAGATCGAAATTTGGGCACTTGGTAGCTTGTTTGCCTTTACAATCACAGTGTGTGTGCTTCAACTTTCCCTCATCCACCTATCTCCCCTATTTCTGCCTTTTTGTCATCCTGCACTCTAACACTGTCCCCAGCTGACCTTCACTGTTTTCTTTTGACATGCCTGACTGAGACATCTGCTGAACTAGAGGGGAATTGAGTGGAGGAGAGCATGACAAGGCAGGAACGTGTAAGGTTCTCACCTAATAATGGTGCACCGCTCACCTACTGACCACAACTGGACTACTGGAACTGCTGTCACTAAGTGGTATAATCACATAATGTGTCATGCCCCCATCGGAGTCCGAGGAGGAAGACAAATAGCTGACAAGGAGTGGGAGAGAGGCTCTGTTGGCTGTGGAGGAAACTGGGGAAGGGCAAAGTCAGTCTGGGCAGAGCAGGAAAGAGGTAGAATGGGAGAGGAGCTTCAGAAGAACACCAAGGTGCAGTCCCTCTTCATCCTAGGGCACGCAGGGAAGAACAGAGATGAGAGCTACGTGGGTTGCATGGCTTACGAGGGAGGAAAGGGCCCCAATTCCCTTCACAAGGCACACCTGGGGAGTTTAAAGGAGAGGCAGTTTGGGAGGGGCATTTCTCATGTTGGCTGCTGTTATGAGAGTTCCTGGCATCCTCCCAACTGGTTTGATTTACTGCCATGTTACTTCACTTCTGGAACTCTTTATCTTGCCCTGCTGGATTTATTATCTTATTTTGTCTTTCTGAATGCATAGTTTAAAGTTTTCTGTTTATAACATTTTGGAATGGAATATTTGTAGCCCAAGGCTGTTGCAAGTTCCTGGGAGAGTTTTTCTCCAGACCGGAAGGTAACCAGAACATTGAGGAGCAAGTTGGAGCTAATAAAGAGACCCCTACTTATTATTCTGGCTGTGTTGCCTTTGTGCCATGCCCCAGGTCATCACATAATCTTTTGTTTGAATGATGGACATTCTGATTTCAGTTAGGGTTGTTAAGTGATGACTACCCATACATAGTCATGGGAAATCAGTGAACCTTCTAAGAGTTCAAGTGAGTAGACAGGCAAATTAGTAGATCAAAATCCAAGATGTGCTGCTTAAGAGTACTTCTGGTATTTTCAAATCTTAAAGAATGAATTTGGGGAATTAACAGTGAAGAAGATTAAAAAACAAAGTAGGTGCAAACATGTTTTGATTCCAAACTAACGTTAGTAAATCAAGTTTTTCCTGAGGGGAAACTGAGGAAACTGAAGTTAAATAAAACCATCATTCTAATCATATTTGACAGTTATAAAATTTGCATGCCTTCAGTTGGCATTGAAAGTTAGGATAGCTAAATGTTATCTTAATGCCTCTAAAAATCTATTCACACATCTGCACTGCTTTCAGTAAGGTATTTGTGTTCAGCAATTGCAGCATGTTTATTCTGGAATAATTAATTCTTTATTTGGAGATTCTTACCTATTCTAACTATCTGATATTAGTCAAGTATAAAGTGCCTTTATTATAATAATCTTGTTTAGCAGAGGAAAAGACAAATTTTGAAAGCCTCTATATTTCATAAATAGTATGAAAATAACTGAGGAATGAAGGTGTAAAATTCTTCCTTTTCCTTATATGAGCATTTTAGCAAGTCTCTCACGTATATAGTGCAAATATCTATGGGGAGGAAAGCTTCATTGAGAAACTCAAAAAAATAGAATATTGTGCAAAAGTTCATTTATTTCAGTAATGCAACTTAAAAGGTGAATCTAATATACGAGATAGACTCATTACATGCAAAGCAAGATAGTTCAAGCCATGATTTGTCATAATTGAGATTATGGCTTACAGCTCATGAAAACCCCAAATCCACAATCTCAGAAAATTAGAATATTCTAGGCTCAAAGTGTCCCACTCTAATCAGCTCATTAAGCCATAACACCTGCAAAGGGTTCCTGAGCCTTTAAATGGTCTCTCAGTAAGGTTCAGCAGGAATCACAATCATGGGAAAGACTGCTGACCTGACGGTTGTTCAGAAAGCCATCATTGACACCCTCCATAAGGAGGGAAAGCCTCAAAAGTCAATTGCAACAGAAGTTGGATGTTCCCAAAGTGCTGTACCAAAGCACATTAATAGAAAGTTATGTGGAAGGGAAAAGTGTGAAAGAAAAAGGTGCACAAGCAACAGGGATGACCGCAGCCTGGAGAGGATTGTCAGGAAAAGGCAATTCAAAAGTGTTGGGGACTTTCACAAGGAGTGGACTGAGACTGGAGTCAGTGCATCAATAGTCACCACACACAGACAGATCCTGGACATGGGCTGCAAATGTTGTATTCCTCTTGTCAAGCCGCTCCTGAACAACAAATAACGTCAGAAGCGTCTTACCTGGGCTAAAGAAAAACAGAACTGGTCTGTTGCTCAGTGGTCTAAAGTCCTCTTTTCTGATGAGAGCAACTTTTGTATCTCATTTGGAAACCAAGGACCCAGAGTCTGGAGGAAGAATGGAGAGGCACACACTGCAAGATCCTTGAAGTCCAGTGTGAAGTTTCCACAGTCTGTGTTGATTTGGGGAGTCATGTCATCTGCTGGTGTTGGTCCACTGTGCTTCATTAAGTCCAGGGTCAACGCAGTCATCTACCAGGAGATTTTGGAGCACTTCATGCTTCCTTCTGCAGATGAGCTTTATGAGGATGCTGACTTCATTTTCCAGCAGGACTTGGCACCTGCCCACACTGCCAAAAGCACCAAAACCTGGTTCAATGACCATGGGATTACTGTGCTTGATTGGCCAGCAAACTCGCCTGACCTGAACCCCATAGAGAATCTATGGGTCATTTCCAAGAGAAAGATGAGAGACATGAGACCGAACAATGCAGAAGAGCCGGAAGCCACTATTGAAGCATCCTGGTCTTCCATAACACCTCAGCAGTGCCACAGGCTGATAGCTTCCATGCCACACCACATTGAGGCAATAATTACTGCAAAAGGGACCCAAACCAAGTACCGAGTACATATGCATGCTTATACTTTTCAGAGGTCCGATACTGTTCTATGTACAATCCTTGTTTTATTGATTGTATGTAATATTGTGGATTTGGGGTTTTCATGAGTTGTAAGCCATAATCATCCCAATTATGACAAATCATGGCTTGAACTATCTTGCTTTGCATGTAGTGAGTCTATCTCATATATTAGTTTCACCTTGTAACCTGCATTACTGAAATAAATGAACTTTTGCATGATATTCTAATTTTTCAAGTTTCACCTGTACATGTGGAAATTTCTTTTAGCAGAGAAGTTGCTGACCTACTTTCATAATGCCTAAACAGCGTCTGCATGCACATAGGTAGACTGTTTCTGAAAGATGACATGCTAACTTGGAAGGAACACACTAAATAAGATCTTCCTTACCTTATTATCTGTTCTGATTGTGACTTTCAACTGAGGAAGAACACGTTCCACTTCAAGATTCCACTCAGCTGCATCTACTTTAGATTCTAAAATCTCTTCCTGTTTAGACTCAAGCATGTCCTATCAAGATATTGGCATTAAACACACTAATGAATTATCACGTTATAATATGCAGTGATACAGAAAGCACCCAACCAACTTTGAAATCTGTTTCGCCAACATAAAGGCCAAAGGGTGATTTGCCAGTTATATCAGTACCAGCAGTAAACACTTTACATTTACTTTTAAAGTACAACACAAGTAAGCAGTATGGGGAAAACTCCTAGGGTTTGCTTTCTGACCATATAACAACAAAAAAACATACTAGTTCAACAAAGAAATTCACACAGAAAAAAAAATAGTTTACAAGAAAATAAATATAAAAAGGAGTGTTTATGTTACTGCTGCCTTTAAAAAAGCAAATGAGAGAAATGTATAAACAACTAATTGTAAATTCTCAATGAATTGATATTCAATTTATATTCTAAATCAGGGATCCCCAATGCCTGACCCATGGCAAACTACCAGGCTGTGGCCTATTCGGAACCAGGCATGAGCACTGTCAACCCTGGAGCTGACCTGATCAAAGCCATTTTGACCGTTTCAATGTTGCCACACTGGAGCTGAGGGGATAAGAAGGGGGGATTTGGGATTCGGTACCCAAAACAAAATACTTTCTCTTGGGAACCAAGGACATTCTCACATGTGGTCAGAAGAAGGCGGAGTGATGTCACCTGGCTGCTAAACTGCACTGTGATTTGAACATGTGACTGATTGTTTTGGGCCAGTGGAAAACTTTTACTTTTAATTAGATGAAAAACTGTGGGAGTCTTCAGAGTCGGTTTTCACCAGATCTCCGCCAATATGATATTTCCAATAAAGCTATTATTTGAGGAATTCACCTGCCTCGGAGTTTTGCTGGCTATGGGACTATTACTTGGAACCCTGACACACAGCTCCACTCATGTGAGCAGCCAGCACAGGTGCATGGCTGGAGCTCCAGTTGCATGAGTGGCAGACCAGCACGCACACGCAGCTCCATTCGCGCAAGCGGTGGGCTACACACATAAGCTCGTACGGGCTTATTCTCCTTTCCCTCCCCCAGCCGGCTGCAATGTCGCAGAGGTTGGGGACTGCTATTCTAATATCAACTAATATTGTTATAGCTCATATTTCTTTGTGTTTGCTTTGTAAAAACTGTTGGGGGAGTCAAAAGAGAGAAAATTCCAATTACAGGCTGGTATTCATCATTAATGAATACCCTTAATTCTTCTCTGTCATAGCTCTTTTGATTATCTGTACAACCACCCAAATTGTATAAATGCTGGGACACTTCCCAGATAATCATAGGAAATTGAAGAGTTACTGAAAGAAGGGGACACTTCACTCAAGCAGCAATGCATTGTGTTTGCAAATCAATACTTTAATATCTAGCATTCTGTACTAATTGAAGAAAACACTTACTGATTTGTAAGTTCGTGCCTTTAAAACGTTCAGATCAATATAATTTTCCTCATTGTCTGTCTCTTCTTCCTTAAAAACATAGAAAATATTTTTAGCAAGACAGTCAACATTGTGATTTAGAAATTATTCTCTGAATGTCATCACAAAATTTATTTTAGATGAAACAAACTTTAAAATGCTATTGCAATCCAAAACTATACAATATGCTACTCACAGGACTTTTTGTCAAAAAGCACTGCTTTAGTAATCATTCCCAAAACAGTTTGCCCTTTGTAACATTAAGGATAGGCAATTTCCTGATATTTTTTACTTCAATTCACATCAGCCCTAGCCCACATTGACAGTGAAAAAAGGATTGTAGAGGTTACTATTCAAAAGCTAAGGGCATTAAGCTCCTTATTTGAGATATAAGCCATTTGTGAAAAGTATTGGCTTCCCCTGTCAAATGTATTTATATGGACAATGTAATATGAGAGCCAAGAAGCAACAACAAAAAACAGCTGGCAGGAATCCAATCATAGGGACATGTGAAAACCTGGTAATATTTTGACAAGAATTGCTACCAGCTACATCAATTAACTTTTTATTTCATGTATTAACTTTGACTACACAACTGTGTATATGACAATTCAGTCAGCAAAATAAGAGAAAAATAATGCTTTGGCATTTAAACATGCAACAATTTAAGCCACATTTTTTCCTTTTTCTTCTCTTTTTTATTGTTTTATCACAGAAAATAAAATACAAAACAGTAAAACAAAACAACAATAAAATGAAATAAAAGCACACATTCAACCCTAATAACAAAAAAGAAGAAAATAGTGTGCAAAAAAAATAGTTTTTCCTATAATTGTATGGGTATTTTAGCAAATCCTCATTTTAACAGATTAATTGGGAAGATAGGATGACCATTACTGACAAACATGCATTAAATATTTAAATAGTTTATTGCATCCAGGCTCACTAAATCAAGGTTCCTTCCAAAGTGAAAAGATTGAAGTCAACTGTACTGTACCACTAAATTTGAAGCAGGAGTGGAGCATATATATTTATGCTAGGATAGAGGGGCAAGAAGTGAATTTCCCAATGCTAGCTTACAATTAAAAAAACCCCAATACCTAATTAAAAATATTCTTGGCTAACTTCTATTCCATTCTTCTATTTCAGAACTTGACCGCTCCACCTCTATGCTGCCTAATACAGATCTAATTTGTTTTTTTTCTGTGTTAAACACATTTAACTTATTTTACTTCAAACACATATCCATACATCAGCCGTTTTCTCATTTGTTCAACCTAGTGCTAAATTAAATTCCCAGACAGAAAAACTTATAAATTTAAATTTGAAAACGATATCAATCATTTGTACACATATAAAACTGAACTATTGAAAATATATTTTTCTTTCCTTTATAACAGTGGGCAATCAGTCAAGACAAGTTACATAAACTTACCGCAATTATTTCTTCTATTTTATTAAGTGTTAATTCAGCATCATCTTCTGTTATTGCTTCTTCTTCTAGCTCCTCAGTAGGATATGTAGGCCTTAAAAGATAAATGCAATAAATGCAATTCTCTAAGACATGAAGTTACAGTGAGATTTTTTTTGATAACTTTATTTATGTCATATGAGAACTTTCTGTCTGATTGTTCCATAATTAGTAAAGTGACGATATAATTCCAGCCAAACAATGCAAATAAAATTGTAATTCGTTTTTTCAAATGCTGATCCCAAAATGCTTCTATGCATACAGAATAAAAGTACTATGTCTAAAATGTTTAAAATGTCTAAAATGTAAATGCATTGGATGACATATTATATGAGCAGCCATGATTGTGCAAAGGAGTTTTTCCTTCTCTGTGCAGTTGTCCTTCATCATTTGCTTATAATCAAATCTATGTAAGAAAGTATATACAATTGAGTTAGATGACATTTAGTATTTACAAATGTTCTAATTATTAAAATTGCCAAGTTTTTAATTTATTTGGATAGATGTTTTCAGCCAGTTTCTAATAACACCATTCAATGTAGTCTTAAATAAAGCATGGACTCTTCAGTTTTAAATTAGATCCATTTGAAAATATGAAACAATCAATAAATAACAAAGGCCTCCTTCATATATAATATTATATATACAAAATAGCAAAACAAAGATTAGTAAATGTGAACACTGCAATTATTTCATATATTTCTTGCTGAAATTTCCATCAATATATTTGCAAAAAGAGAAAATGAAGGGGGAAAAGAGTGTTAAGATTATGTATACAAAAAGAAATCACCATTAAACTTGGTTTACTAAAAAGAAATGTGCAGAACTAATTATTCACTTAGTTGTGGTTCTCAAATATGGCACTGGCAAATTTCCTGGAGAAATGAAAGAGCTGCTGCAGCTCACTAATTTGTAGAGATAAAATGATTACTTTCATGCTTCTAGTAAAAAATGAGCTGCCTTGCAGCAAGATGGTCTGCAAACAAATTTAATAAATAAATGTAAATAATTGATTATTATCTGTCATTTATTCATTTGCCTCCAAGGTTATTTTGTTCCAAGCTTCTGCTATTATAGGGGACAATTATACCACTTACTCGCTATACCTACAACCAATAGTACAGAATGTTGTAGTCTTTTATTAGGCCCAGACTTAACATATTCAAGTATGATGCATTAGAAAATAGTATTTTATTGCTAATATTATCCTGCAAATCTTTCAACCAACCTATTCAATCCATCCTGGGAACTGGCAGCTGAGGGAGAAGGGTTTCTCCAGTGTGGGACACCAGCGGGCTAAACCCTTTCTCCATACTATTTAATATCTGTATGAAACCAGTGGAAGACAAAATCAGTTTTTGAAATAAGGTAGCATAAATAGGATACTATAAATATGTTGATGATAGTGAGCTGTACTTTGCCACCTCACAGCATGCTAAATAGGATATTCTGATTCAGCATCTGGAGGTGTTAGGGAACTGATGGAGCAAAAAGACTAAAGCCTAGTAAGATATGAGTATTGCCTCTGATCTTCTGTGTTGTCCAGAAACAATAATTTCAGTGATAGAATTAGACAAGTGTTGTACTTTTTGCTGAAGAAATAAGTCCATGACTTGAGGATACTCCTGAATTTGTAGTTTGACTGGTACATCATTTGCAGCACTATCTTCATCAGCAAATCCTAATAGCAGTGGTTGAAGCAATAATCATAGCACAACTTGACTACCTAATGCTACATGTGGGCCTACCTTTGAAGTTACAAATAATAAACAGTGTTGTGTAACACACATTCTCAGGCACCGATCATCACTGTGTTTAATCTTAATTCTAAATGCTGGTTATTCCTGTAAAGCCTTTTATATAAACAAATGAAATTCTTCTTTATCACACACACCTTACTAGTGTTTGTGATCCAAATCACAAATTGACTAACAACTAAAAAATGGTAGTTATACAAAAGTGGTGACATCAATATACATATTTTACATATGTAAATATCCAATACATTATATATAGATACACACACACACACATACACACACACACACAAATACATAGTATATAATATAAACTTGGTACTTCTGCTATTTAGTAAGATTTAAGATAAAACAGCCCTAACATCTAACTTTACTAACCTCCATTCTCAGCACCTGCTGATAGTGGTTTCTATCATTCAACCCACTTTATTAGGACATGGCTCCTGGTTGTTATAGAAGAAATGACTTCTTTAAAATGACAGTTGCTAGATTATCTAGAAAAGGTCTGTTCAGGGATCCATGCTGGATCACCTTATCGCTAGAGATGTATCTAGCCTACTTGATACTGACATTTTGTCTGTGAAAACAATTTTCTTCAGGTGTATTTTAAAGCTTCACAATGGGCTATAAGCACCTTCTTCTATATTTTTATATAGATTTTGGGAGGGGGAGGAGTTATTTTACACTGTGCAAGGGATGTTTTACAATAAGGTTGATATATCTTTATACTATACAAAATGTGTTAATATGAGCAATTATAAAAATGTTTACTGTATATATGCTCCTATAGCTACTAATCTAGCCACTTCCATGTTAGATCAGTGGTCCTGTTGGCTACTCAACGCTGCATGAGAGGACATGTAATTTTTTCTTGAGGGAGGGGGAAGTCCGCTGGCTCTTAGGGAAGTAATGATGCACCCTTTCTTCAAGGGACCATCATTCAACTCAACTGTTCTGGACAGTTTGTGTCCAGTTTCAGTCTCCTCTTTTTAGGAAGGTTGTGAAGAAAGTGGTTGTAGCTTCAGAGGAACCAGGATATAGCTGATTATCTAGACCCCTTTCAGTCAGGGTAAGATACAATACCTTTTCCAGCTAAAGGATGTGTATTTCAAGGCTTCTTCTGCCAAACAATCAAGAACGTAGCAAGCTTGTTCTCCATAACCAGCCTTTAACTTTGAGGGAGGAAAATCTACAGTTCTTCCCTGAAGAAGAAGTAAACATCATTAACAGAGACAAAGCAGCATTCAATCAAATAATATTGCCTACCTTCTCTAGTTTGTAACAAGAAACTATCTGTACATGTGAATCACCAAATATCATCAATGGGTTGCTTACTTGAGGAATCACGTATCTACTACAGAATCTGGCTGGCTGGCTGACTTGATCTTACAGGATTGGCGGAATTAGTTCAATTTTTAATCAGGTTCCTTCAATTAAGCAAAGTTACCTATCATGACCGCAGAAGTGTGCCTTCCCTTTAGCAGTGCCTCCCTCTAGAATAAGATTCCCCCAAGATCTGGATGGCCCCTAGTTAATTGTTGTTTAAAGAAATGTGATATTTGGATCTGAACTATTGTTCCAGCTTTATTATTTTGTACAACTGGTACAAGAAGAAACAAACAAGAAATTATACCTCCTTGCTTCATTTCCATCCAGTGTATAGTTCTTGCCATCTGTTATCTTTTATTCTTAATTTTCACTGGGTTTATTGCAATTTATTTCTTTTGAATATTGTGAGCTACCCAAAGTTGAGAATTTAATAAGTATGAAGTTTGCATGAATTCAAATACAGCACTTTTCAATGGACTTAATTTATACATTCAGCTGCAAATAGTAAACCATAAGAATGCAACCACTGTGCGCACTAATCAAGTAAATGCACAAAGCAAACTCATGACTATTATAGTTATTATCCAGTATTTTAAATTTGTTTTCTAACTGGATTATTAGTTAGAATAAAAGAGATAGCCAAAGTATCTCAAAATATTTGGGTCAGCTTTCTAAAGATTTTTCATTGTAATGGAGCACAATCAAACCAGAACATAGTTTTAATTCATACATTACATCAAACCATGCATGCTTAGGGAAATTTAGCCATTATTTGATATGCTGTCAAAACTGAAAAATCAGGCTTTCACTTTCAAATCAGAATTAGATATTATGATTTTAACTGGGTTTGCCAAGTGCATTAAAATTGTTATCACTCTGTCAAAGGAAGAGTGCATAGACAAAGAGAGACCGCTTTACTATGTAACTAGTAAATCTAAACAGGCAACAACAAAAAGAGCTACTGAAAACCTATATACTTGCAAGCTCAAACCATAATTTAAATTCTTTATTATGGCTGCTTCAGAAGAAATGTAGATGCAAGTCATTGAAATACAAATTGGTGTCTGTTTAAATTTCTAAGACTATTATGAGAATAAAATTAAATAACTCAGAATTAAATCTCATCTCCAAACTGCCTCTTGTTTTCTTTTCTGAAATACCTAACATTACTTTGCAACTGGAAAATAGTACAGAAAATAAGAGTATACTTGAATTCAGCTGAAATACTATGCAGTTTCCAGTACTAGCATCTTTATTTACTCAAATCGAGTACGCCTTACAAATTCTCAAAGGATGCAGTCAATCAATTACAGGGCTAATTTACAAGAGATAAGACAGATGATTTGATAAATTTCACCCAATTAATCTCTAACTAAGATCAGTAAATCATACACCAGTCATATATATTAGAAACTGGTCTCTGGCTGTACAGGACAATCTACCGGTTGAGTAAATTCAGTTTGGAGAAGAATGCATAAAACATTTGATTAGTGCATCATTTTGCAGCATCTTGATAAAAGGGATTTTAATTGCCTTCATGGTACTCTTTCTACTTTTACTGCTGTAAAGACATTTAACACAGTATATGAGGCTATGAAATTTTGCCCAAGGCTTTTCTATTCACTTTCAGGGAATACAGGTAATCCTAATTTAATGACTGCCCTATTTAGAAACTGTTTGAAGTTTTGACAGAGCTGAAAAAGTAACTTTACAACCAGTCCTTGTTGTAAAGTTATGACAATCATAGCATCCCTGCAATGACATGATCAAAATTTGGGCATTATGGAATTAGTGGGTATTTACAAACATTGCAGCTTTCTGTTTCATGTTTCACAGCTGCATTCCAATGATGGAAATAAAGTAAAACTGTCATGGATAGATGAGGTTTCACTTAAGGACTGTTAAGTGTTTTTGCTTAACAACTGCTTAACAACTGAGTGGGTTGTAAATCTGTCAGTCATGAGATATCTCACTTAACAACCATGTCACTTCGCAATAGCACTGTTGGTTCCAAGTGTGATTGTTAAGCAAAGACTACCTGAACTTTTAATTACCGGATGGTAGGAAAATACTTGAGCTAAGATGATTTTCTGCCACAATTCAAACAAAGGCAAGGTGGTATGAGGCCTTTGCATAAATTCTATAGTACAAGTATGAAAAAAACTTAATTGGACAAATTATGCCAAATAAACCTCTTTAAATGCTTCTACAAAATAAATAGATGCAAGCTAGAACATTTAAACTGTTGCTTTGTGTAGCTAATAGGGAAGATTTAGCATCAGTTACTCTGAAACAGAAGTAGTAAGACACATGCAAGTTACAGATAGTGATAATCAATAATACTCGCATAGAGCAAATTATACATTTAAATCTTGGAAGTTATTTTAAAGCTGTGGTTTGCTTGGACACATTAAATAAGAGCTGCTATTGATTGTTAATGCTATTTTGCTAGCAACAGAAAAGGTAGCTATGTTTTCTGCTCTAAATTTCTAAGACATACAGTAGGTGATTAACTACTTGTTATATAGATGAGTTTTGAGACTGTGAAAATAGGATTATCTATATTTCTAAAAATCATGGTCCAAATTTTTCAGAATTTCCAGTTCATTATTATATTTGGAATGAGCAATACCTGCCTTAAAGGCTTGTTTGAAGGGTGTTAGCTAAAATTCTGGCTAAAATTGATTTTCAGTAATGGGTCCCTTGGGTCTTCAAGTTGTTTCTGGATAACTTTCTATTGACCTAGAAAAATGGTGTTGTAAGATCAGGGATATTATAGACTCTCAGCCTGGTATCATGGGCTTTAAGAAAGCAATAATGAGTTGAGCTAATGTGTAATTTTTACTCATGATCAGAAAAGATCTGAGCTATCATCTATAGTTGGTACCATATGGTGGCAGTTTTGTCTGGAACATTTTTCACTCCAGTTAATTATCTAATTAAAATTCTGCATTCACCTCAATAAAAAGCCCCTTTTTTGCCAGATGTAATGATTTAACATTGCAGTGCAAGAGGATTTATGTACATGCCTAGAGGGAAAAACTATGACAATTTTTCATACATTATTGAGCTGCCCGTTCTATATGGCTTGGCAGATATTTAATAACATCTTTCTTAGCCAAACACCTTGCATAAGTAGCATATTCTCCACCAGTCTTTAAAACCGCTGCTAAATCATATTCTATAGCTATTGCTGTTTTGGAGGGGACAAGTATTATAAGATTATTCATATTCCTTTAATTACATTAAAGTTTTAATATAGTTTCACAGTATTCACCTTTATACTGATTATGTATAATTAGTAACTGATCTTTTATTATAAATAAAATATAAACAAAACCTATTATTTCTATAACTTTCTTAAAGTCTAATTTGAGTCAAGCTTGATGTAGCATTAAATTGGTGTAACTATTATTGACAACATAAATTTTCTCCAATACAACTGTACTTAATCTGATCCTTTCAATAATGCATCCATTGCCACTATAATTGAGTTCACACACCTTGTTGCTGGTCATCCCGCTCTTCCCTTTCCTTCTATCTTTCTGGCATTATAAGGTTGTCCAGAGAACTGGATCTTAGCATGTCCAAAGTAGAATAATTGGCTAACTTTACTCATTTCACCCGTCTCTATTGTAAACATATGGTGAAGCCCTAATGACCACTCTTGAGATGACTTCACTATACCTTCAATTGGGGTCATGGAATCCCTGTCTAAAGAAGAGTTACCTGAGAGTCTCATTGAAAGAAAAAAATCTTTAACCCTGCTTGGTTTCCTCCATCTTTATAATCTTTTGCTACTTCAGTTCTAATCCTAGTCACTGATAGCCATGTCTTGTGAGGACCATTTTAAGTATTTAAATAATAATAGGAGATATCTTTCTCATCATATTCTCAATAGTTCTTTCATTTGCCTGCAGTTAGTTCAGAGAGCTAAAGTAAATTTGTGAGTTAAGATACTTGGAGTTCTACCTTTTGTTTACATTCTTTGTTATTGCCACAACGCTTTTCTATAATAACTTCGCTTATCGCAGATTATTTATTTGATAGTAATGCTGTGTGCTTCAATTTTTTTAAAAAATCAGTATTTATGGTATAAAATCTAACATTATCAGATGATACCTATGAACAATCAGCCTTCCCTTCCAAGTAGGATAATTTGAATCTGGGCATTTGTGCCTTGGCAAAGAATTCTGGGCTGATTGATTTTATGACCCATTTGTTTGTTTTCTTGGCTATTCATATATCCTCAGGAGTCTTCTCCAACACCAAAGATGTTGTTTTTAATATTAAAAGTTATTTTGACACTTAAATTAGAATAAAAAAATTAAAAGCATCAGCTTTATATACTGCTTTTTCAAAAGAAAACTTGCTTTCATCATAGAGAAAGCCACTGCCTGCACTATTCTGATCTTTGTAGCTATAGACTCATCATGCCATCTGAATATGTTTCAAGTCCTTCATTTAGCACTCTACCAAACACTAGTCTGTGGTGTATTTCTGGACCAACGGTTCTTTTACTTTTGGATAATCCATACTAAAATGCAGAAGATATCTGTTTTAATCTCTCCATTGTCATTTGTACTGTTGATTGCTTTATTAATTGTCATAAATTTGATATTATTTACCTATTAGTCCATTATCTTTATTGTGCTTTTTGATTTCCATTACTAAACCCTGCAGATTATTTGTATTCTCAGCTCTCAGTGTTATCAACATATTGCAGGTTCTTCTTCCTCCAATCCAAAACCATGCTAATCTTCCAAGCCAACTTCTTTCAATATGCAGACAGAATAAATAAGGGGACAGTTTACACTCTCACTATTTTGCCATCTGGCCTCTCATTCTGTTTCAACATGTTCCGACTGGCCTTTGGCTTTCTGATCTGTGTCTAGATTTCACATATTTCAGGGCAATCAATTGTTCTGGGATTTCAGAATAGAATTATATGTTTAGAATTTTTCTAAGATCATTCCACTGCTTGACATGATTGATACAATCAAAGATTTTCTATAATCAGTGGAACACATTCTGATTTTTTTTAGTATTCTTTGGCTTTCTCAATCATCCAATCAAGCTTGTATCCTGGTGATTTCAACATCCATATAGTTTTACGGGTCACTAATTTTAATATATTTATTTATTTTCCAGTTCACCCTACTGCTCATTTCTTTAGTAGTCTCCCATTCCAGTATTAATCAGGTCAAATCTTTTTAGCTTTCAAGGACAGTTAGCTGCTCAGCTATAATATTGTCTTAGGCTTCACCACTACGAGTACACAGTCATCCATTTTTTTCTTGTCAATAGAATTTTTCTATAAAGTAAAAAACTTCTTTTGCAATCTACAAAGTTATTAGAAATAATCAAAACAATTCAGAGATGGTAAACTAAATAATTTACTTACAAAGGACCGCAGCTCTGCTAATATGTTAGATATTGTTGCATTTGGGTCATCATATTCCTGTGGTTGCTCAAAAGGATGCCCTGCCTTATTAATTAGCCAAGCAGCAAGGGTACAAAACATGTAGAACTGTTCACCTGGGTTAATAGGCAATGCAAAATAATGTCTGTTTTAAAAGAAAAAGGAGCAGAAATTAGTATGCCTATATTGAAAAAAAAGTGCTAAAAACTAAGATAATGTCTCTATTTTACAATCATCTATGCCCCCAATCTTCCCCTCCAAGATACTATATTTCACTAAGCTAATTTTCTTAATATATGTGCTATTTTCCTTAAGTGCTTTCAGAATGTTATGTCACAACTGTATGTATGCATTACTGAAAATCAATGTAAGTCAAAACTTTTAAAAGTAGTTGTCATACTTATTTACCACATTTTTGTACTGCCATACTGTATAATAACTGATGGCAGTAGTTCTGTGTAAAATGTATAAAGTTATTCAGATTATAAATTATATTATCTAATCTTCTATAGAAGAATCCAGTATACTACAGAAACACAAATGGCTCTGTAAAATAAAAATAAAAAGTTAATCATTTTTTATACAAATAAGGACGTAAGACCCAGAACTCGGTATTTATTATGATTTTCCCTCATTACTCCCTATTACCCATAATTGCCTTTATTATCCCTGATTACCACTATTACCACTATGCCATGACTCCAAAAGAGATGGAGGAAATGAGACAATATATAGCTAAGAATTTGGCACATGGATTTATTCAACCCGGGAAATCACATACAGTTGCCCCTGTTTTATTTTGCAAGAAAAAGGATGGTGGATTACATCTTTGTGTTGACTTCTGGGGCCTCAATGCTCTTTGTGTAGACAATCTATACCCTTTACCGCGAATCAATGATTTTCTGGCAGATATTTCACTAAATTGGATTTACGAGAAGCCTACTCTCGAGTTCGGATACAAGAGGGGCATCAATGGAAAACTACTTTTAATTGCCCCCTTGGAAGTTTCCAGTTTAACATTATGCCGTTTGGGCTGCAAGGAGCACCCGCCGTTTTCATGAAACTCATGAATGAAGTATTACAAGAACATTTATATCATGGCGTTTTAATATACTTAGATGATATCTTGATTTATACTAAAACAATGGAGGAACATTTTGCCTTAGTGAGAAAAGTTCTGAAAAAATTACTTGACGCTAAGTTGTATGTGAAACTCTCGAAGTGCGAGTTTCACTGCACATTGTTGGATTATTTGGGGTACAGAATATCAAATAAAGGAATAGAGATGGATCCCAATAAAGTCAGAGCTGTAGTTGACTGGAAAGAACCAAAAACACTAAAACAATTACGAAGTTTTCTAGGATTTGCGAAGTTTTATCAGCAGTTTATTCCTAAATTCGCACAAATCATTTTACCACTAACAGAATTGTTAAAAACTAAACATCAGTTGCCAAAACCCAGACCCAGTCAACCCACTGTGTGGTCACAGGAGTGTCAGCAAGCGTTTGACAACTTAAAAGCCTTATTTGCTCAAGAGCCCATTTTAAAACATCCTGATACAACTAAAAGTTTTGTACTACAGGCTGATGCAAGTGATGTGGCTGTGGGAGCTGTCCTATTACAGTATACATAACGAAAATTTACAACTACAGAGCGAAGGTGGGCTATTTGGGAAAAAGAGGCTTTAACTGTAAAATGGGCACTCAGTACATGGCGACACCTATTAGAAGGGTTAAAAGAAAAATTCAAAGTGTGGACAGATCATAAAAATTTGCAAGCATTGCAAAAACTGAGAAAACTGTCCCCTAAACAAGTAAGATGGGCTTTGTATTTTAAACATTTTGATTTCCACATGTGATATGTTCCGGGAGGTAAAAACTTCATGGCGGATGCACTATCTCAACTACCTCAATACAATGTATCTAGAGACGAAGTCATTCAACCCATGATCTCTGTGGGAACGCCGATCGAACACATTCAGGTGTTGACAACAAAAGAGATAACCAAAAAGGAATTTAACAAATCTAAATATAATAGAAAACTTACTTTTAATTCCATGTATCTTCATGATCAGCAAATACACATTTATTTTAATCAGTTTTTAACAAGATCTTTTGTGATGTCCAAACAGCAGGTTAACAGTTATCCTATCATCTCTATTTCTGTCTATTTGGGTCCTCTTGATTTGCTGATTGCTTTAATATTAGAAGCTTAATACTGGGGGATAATTGGATCTGAACATAGTAGTTTAGATTTATTTTAAAACTATTTTCTATTCTGAGTTCTCAGATTGGTTTTCTTCAAAAAAAAAGCTTCTTTGAGAACAATTCCATAATATCTATTGTCTACATTATATTTCTGACAAAGAAATTCATACAATAGATTATATAAGAAATATTAGAAGGCTCCAAATTGGGGTTATTTCACCTTTTTTAACACCTTGACATTACACTGTTCTGCAATTTCACATTAAGTATATTAATAAAACATCTAAAAAGGATTTGGGAAATGATTTTTATAATGTGCATTCTATGTCATAATACTTATTAGGTTTGTACTACTTGAATTTGATTTTTTCAACCTTTATGTACTTATTAATCTATCTTCATATATTCTAGTTATCTTAAATCTATAACAAAATTGTGTGTGTATATCTTTAAGTACACAAAATTATTTAAAAATTGTACAGTTTATTAACATATTGGTATTATTAAAATATTGATTATTAAAATAATCAATTACAGCTGGAGATTTAAAACACTGTTTTGTCAGTTTTCTATGTTGCTGAAAGAAATCAGAAAGACAAAATACATACAAACTCTGACTGAAGGCTATTTCCAGTTGAATGTTAGGAAAAAATTCTTAACACTTTAATAGTAGAACCAATTATTCAGGAAAATGGCAAGCTTTGTTTCACTGGATGCAAAAAGTCTGAACAGGTCGAGATGCAAATATATTCATCTTACTCAAGTAAACCTGAGAAAATTAATGAGGCTTACTTTTATGTAAACTTGTATGAGATTACATTCTGAGACTATTACATGTATATTATATGAAGCCCAAGTCACAAAACTAGAACTGGAATCCATATTGGCAGCATATAAACAATATACACCATAAATTTTACTTGCATGACAAAAATATAGTCACTGATTGGTAGAAAGTTTTATAGGCAACATTTAAACTATTGCCATGTTATCCCTTATGCAGAAAAACTACACAAACCAAGTTAATATGTACTTTATTTTTCCCTATAGATGGAAAAGCATTATAACCAGGGGTGGGTTTCTACCGGTTCTGTCCACCTCTGTAGAACCGGTAGCTCTGAAGAGCAGCAGACATAGAATCGGTTCTATGCAGTGATGGGATTCAAAAATTTTTACTACCGGTTCTGTGGGCGTGGCAGTGGGCGTGGCAGGGGAAGGATGCTGTAAAACCTACAGTCAGAGGTGGTATTTGCCAGTTCTCTGAACTACTCAAAATTTCTGCTACCGGTTCTCCAGAACTGGTCAGAACCTGCTGAATACCACCTCTGGTTCTATGTCTGCTGATGTTTTTGCTCACCCGCCCACCCGGGCTCTTACCTGATCTTTATTTCCTGATTTTTCAACTTCAGCTGCTAAACCAGGCACAGCTGCAGTTAAAAAAGCAGGAAAAGAGGGCTGTTTCAAAAGCTGCATCTCTGCACACAGCATGATGACGATTTACAGGCGTGTGGCTCACAGTGTGCAGGGAAGCTCGTAAATCCCAAACTGGTAGTTAACCCTGTCGTATCCCACCCCTGATTATAACTAAAAGAAAATTGAATGTATTTATTATATTTTAAATATGGATTTAATGCATACTAGAATTTAATGAGAATGTCTTGAGACATGGCACTATTTTTGTACTCATGATATAATCCTGAACTTACAGCTACACAACTCAACACATACTTTAGAAGTATATAATCAAAGCTATAGTCTGACAGACTCAAGTTTTTACAATGTGAGAATATCTCCATAGTCCATTGTTAGTTATCTATTAATAACATAGCTTTTTACCCAAATAATCCATAACCCTGAGGAAATAATAAAAAGTTACTCAAGAATCGTATGACTTAGAGTACATTTAAAGAAATCAGGAAAAAAGGAGTCTAGGTATATCGTCAATTTAAAATTACATTGAATGTGCAACTTCTCAAAGTAACACGAATAGTATTCTTCACAGGTGAGACATTTGCCTGATGCATACCTATTCTGTGGCCTTAACACAGATGTATATTAGAAAAGACTGTATACGTTTACATCACGTTGATATAAAAGACATTTCTAAAAATTTCTCATTTATTCTTTATAATTACTTTCCATTTTTAGAATGAACCTGGAAGAAAAAATTCTATCCCAAAGAACTTTATCTACTGAATCACAACCACTTATTCTGTCCAACAATTTGAGTTTGTAAGGAGGAATCTCTAGGAAAAGTTTATTTGCAATAAACAATGCTTGTCATATATTTGATGCTGTATTTTTGAAAGATTACAAATACAACAAGGAAATCACCACCTATTCCAGCAGAATTTCATACAAGTTTCCTAAGCAATCATAACTTCTAAGTGGTTTCATAAAAGTAACTCTCAAGTTAATAGAGATATAGCACATTAATATTTGTGCAAAAGTTTTTATGTTTCCTTTCCTTATCAAATCTTTTTCTTTTTTGACTTTGTATTTTTTCTGCAACTTGCATAACATTGCTTATTCTGAAACAGCACAGTATGATATAAAATTAGGAGACTGTATGTATGTATGTACGTATGTACGTATGTATGTATGTATTCTAATTTTTCTTACCCTATACAGAAATAGGCCTATATAAACAGAAAAGTGCCTGATTTTATTCGGATCTCGTACCGGATCTCATTGAATAAAAAGATTCGGTCGAAAGTTGAACTGAACTGCAACAAAAAACATTCCCCGTTTCCAAGGAGCCTTTCTCGAAAACAGCTTAAATCCTCTTTGCTGTCTGATAGTTTTAGGGGTTGTTCACGCGCGACAACTCCAACCTCCAACTTTACACGCGAAAAGCCCGTTACACACTCATTAAATACACACGTGAAAACTAGCTTTTAAATCCACAAAGCCCTTGAAAGAGTTACTGGCTGGGATCAGACAATGTATTCAATCAACTGTAAAAAAGGGGGGGAGGGGAATCTTGTGTGGCACCCCAACCTACACACACCTACACACAGTAAACCAACAAGCAAGGCCTACTTGCTTGCCTTACCGGGAAGGCGGCCTCATGTTATGGCTCCGCAACGCGGCATCTTCCTCGCAATTGAGTAACTTCAACTTCTCCAGCAGATCCTCCATCATGACAAACATGTGATAAAGTGCTCCCGGCCCGCGCTCCAGCACCGCCACTTCCCCAGTCGCATCCCCTTCGTCGGCCGCCGCCATGACACGTCCCAATTGCAGCTGCCCGCTTCCAAGTTGTTGCCAGCACAACGCTTGGCAAGCATCAAGGCCGCCCGCGTCACCCGGGAAACAAACCCCGCCTGCTCGAATGCTCACCTTCCAATCGCTTCTTAATCCGTGCAATCCTTCCGTGATCGGTCCGACCAATCAGCTCCACCCGAAGTGATTCACGGGAGGCGTCTTCCCGTATAAGGGCTTCCAGATTTGGGAGCGAAAATTCGGGATGGTCGCTAGAGCCCGGGAACTTTAATTCTTTATTATCCTCTAGGGCTCTCTGGGATTTTACAGTGCACGCCTGGAAATCGGAGCTGCAAATGCAAATTTGCAACTTTCCGATCTGGCCTGCAATAATCCGGACAAGGGAGCAAAGAGCAGTGAGATAGATTGCGGAAAAGCTGTTATTTCTCAACTCAGATCTGGGTGCCTATGCTTTACAGCTGTGCGATCAAAGCCCTCAGAATTTATTCAGTATACTCTGGATACCTCCAAAATTGGGATAATGGGTAAATTATATTCAACCATGCATATGTATGGTGTGTAAATAGAAGAAAGAAACCAAGAGAAATTAATATTGGGTAGAATTAAATGATAGACCTTAAATTTGGAGTACTTGTTAAACAGGTCTTTTCTGCTTTGTAACATAACCAATTTTTGACTGCACTGATAAATTAGATTAAAAATAATTTGGTTCAGGAGACTTCCCACAATAACTAAAGGGAACGTTAGGGGACGTCTTAAAGAACAATGCTACTGAGAGATAAACTTGCCGATAATCTGATATTACACAAGCTGTATTTGCATAATAACGGCCTTAAGATATGGTTAGTAAATCACAGCATTCACAATTTTTATATGGCACTGTGATACTTTAGCTAATATGTTGTAAAATGATGTGATGAGCATGATTCAGGATTGTTCTTTATCTCTTGAAAATAATATTGGGTTTAGTATGTTGTGAGAACACAGCCATATTGTAGCTATCTTGATTAACAGTTATCAATATCTCTATTCAACATGAAAATTTCCAATTAACATTTTAAAAACCAACAAAGTAGGCTGCCCTTCTATATCTTGTGGAATCAGACATTCTAGTTTAATGTGATGTGTGAACAAATTCCTAAGTCACTTGTGCTTTGGATAGCTAGAGTGCTCAGCTTTTACTTTCAGCAAGTAATGGGCACTTTTTAATTTTTTAATTTTTTTTAAATTATAAGGATCTCACAAAGCTTTTTGACATCACACCACTCACTGGAATCTGATATAAGAAAACCCTTTCCAGATTTCAGGCTTTTCCTCCATTATGATCACAGTGATAGCCAGCTGTGTGGTTAATATGGCACCTAGTGAGTGGTAAGCTAAACAGAGGGCAAACAGGAATGAAGTAGATGACCCATAAAGTACCATTCACATTCATGACAGAAAAGCAAATGCTACTTTTTGTCTTGTGAACATGTATTTTGAAGACTGGTAACAAAACAAAAACAATAGGGCTAATAGTGCTTTCTGTGCTTTTTAGGTTGCTGCCTTCTTTGAATCTCAAACAGCAACTTTCTTTAATCCTTTAACTAACAGTGAATCTAAGATTCAGTGTTTGAATTAAAGGAATCCATAATGGTAGCCATTGAGGGATCAAATTATAGTAAGTCTTAAATTGGAATTACAAGCACTATCCGGTGTGTTGTAAACAGTTAAAATACTGAAAGTCTGCACTAATTTGTTTTCAATACCGCATCCTAGTAGTGCACCTCTGGCACTTTCCGTCATAGTAGGATAGGATACATAAGTTGGAATGGAACCTTGTGGGCCATCTAGTTCCCTGATATGTTTAGTATAAAAATCTACTAAATCATCTTTGAAGAAAGGCCAGCAGCCCTTGTTTGAAAACCTCTGAAGTGAGGAATCCACCCCTGTTTTTGGTAGACCTTTTTAAAGCTAAATCACCCTTATTGTCAAAAATGTCTTCTTAATAGTCATCCTGATTCTTCTTTCAATTTCATCCTATTGTTCCTTGTCCCATTTTGTTTCAACAAAGAACAAAACCACCACCTCCTGTCCATGGCTACTTGTTAGATATTTCTAGACCATTTCAATATCTGGGTCTTCTAACTATTTCTCATAGCTGCTTAGCTTTCACAGTCCTTACCAAGCTTTTCTTATAAACCTGCTATGATTATACCACATTAGCAACCAAACATAATACAATATGATCCATAGTATTATAGAATATTTAAACCCATAATCTGGACACAAAGTTTTTATTAAGACAGCCCAAAAGATTTTACTGACCATTCTGCTTTGTCCATTTCAAACAGAAGTAGGTGGTCTACTTTTAATTCTTTTTCATATGCATTATTGCAAAGTCAGACCTCCTCAATCCTATACCTATACATTTTATGTTTCCTATCTAGGAAGTATAGAGCACTAATGCAAAGAAAACATACAGCAGTTTTTGCCTTCTTCGTATACCATTATTACTTCCCTGCCTTTTCTATGCAGAACACAAGTAGCTAGCAAGTATGCGTGCACACAGCTCCATTTGCACAAGTGATGTGCACACGGCCCTGCTGTTCACTTAAATGGAGCGTGTTTGCACGTTAACCTGGTGCTTGTGCTGGTCAGGATGCGCATGTGCATGTACACACTGGCTATTTTTGTGACTGAGTTGCAAACCCCTCACAGCCCAGTAGAGAGCCGCGGCTCATAGGTTGGAGGCCCATGCTATAAATAACAGCATCTTGCAAACCTGATTGATCTTCACCTACACTCACTCTCTCTCTCTCTCTCTCTCTCTCACACACACACACACACACACACACACACACACACATATTCCATTGGGCCAGAGAGGAACCAATTTGCACTGTTCCCTAACACTATATCCTTTTCCAGAACCTAAGGAATGTTTCTATCCTTGTTTCTGTAATGGCTTCTGATTATTGCCTTCAAGGCTAACTTCAAGACCCTCTGAACCCTCCTTCCCATTCCAGTTTAATTTAAAGCTTTCCTGATAAAAGTTCACAAGTCCACTGCCAAACAAACTTTCTCTTATCAAGTGTAATTTATTTCTGCCTAAGAATTGCCTACATGACTCATGGTTGAGAAATCCATTTTTTTCTCCAACAATATCTCATTCTTAGTTGTTCATTTCAGAATTCCATTTTCAATTACTTGAAAGCCTCTGAAATATTTGGCCTCTCCTGCCAAAGAAATATGTGCTCTCATACATAAGTAGGCATGGCTAACAATGGTTTGATGAGTGGGCAATTTTTCTACCAGATCCTCACTATATTCACTAGGAAAACAGCAGAGGTCTCACAATAGCTTTGAGAGGCTACTATAATAAGACTCTCTCAAGTAATTGAAGCTTGCTTTGTATTATCAGAACTTCACATCAGTATGAGAAGAACTTAAACAATGGATGAAATCAAATACTTTTCAGCTACCAACAGACACTCTTGTATAAAGAGGCATCTGTTCCTAACTGCAATTTTGTCAAAATCGCATTGTCTGATCTCTGCCCTTAACATATTATTGTAGAATGTCATGGTAGATTTACACAAGGATTGTACTGGTGCAGTGCGTTGTCATTTTACCTTCCTTGCTCCTTCTGAAAATGCATCTCTTCCACAAGATCTCCAGAGCAGATTTGTGAACAAAATGTGTACAGAGAATTCACATTGCAAAGTACCATTGTATGACTAAAAATATAGTCACAATATTGGAATTTGTCCAAGTTTATCTTCTACATTTTTTGTTTTGTGAGCATTGTCGTTTATAGAATAGAATCACCCACATCCAAATCATGTACAATTAGCAGAATGTGAGATGTGACCATTAAACTAGTCAAAAATCTATAACCTTTTTCAAATGGTTATATTTTTTCCTCATGTCATTTTCCAGGACTATTTTCTGACTAACCTGCATATATTCTGCATAATTTATTTCCCATTTGTAATGAACAGGGAAGAAAGCATTTCGTTTCTTCAGATTAGGACAGTGCACTCATATTTGACATGTTAATGAATACAATTGCACATTATCTTCAAATTGCTTTTGGGGGTTGGGAGAGTGGAAATTGAATTGAATTGAATACTTTATTGTCATTGTACATATATACACAGTATACATACAACGAAATTCACATAACACCCAGAGACCAGACCCAACACGCATACACACATGACAATCCCCAAACACTCCCCCACCCGTCAAAATTCCCCACCCCCTAAAAACACATAAGCATCCACACAACAGACCAAGTAATACTGTCCAAGAGCTCACTGATGGTGGTCCTTAAGTTCATTGTTAAGTGCAATTATAGCTCTGGGATAAAAAACTATTCAGTAAACATGTGGGCTGAGTTTTAATTGTTCATTTAATTGAAACAATGGCACTATGAAAGTACCTAGGCTGCCTTTGAACCAAACAAGCAGAAAACATAGAGGACCTAAAAAATTTCATCAGCTACTCTAGTTTGATCCAAGAATGAGTACATACTTTGAAACAAGGCATGATGCAACTCCCTTGTGCCCTTGATATGAAATTGCCTTTAAAATTAGAAAAATAAAGCATTGTCATGCAATTACATTTAATATAATTTTGATTACCTGATTTGAGTATTAGTATTTATTTTAATATGGCCTAAGAACAATAATAAAAATGAAATACAGTAAATATGGGAATAAAATAGAATGAGAATCCTGAAACAGCTAATAATGGAAAGCAGTTCCAGTTGATTTCTAAAAGCTTCCTTTCAACTATCCCTTGACATACATATATCAAATATACATACATACATTGCACACATGCACACAGACACTCCTTCAAGCCTTAGAAGCAGCTCTTTACCCCAATACCAATTGTGCAATACCCATTAGGATGGCAATGAGAAGATCCACTAACCTTCTGTCTCAAAGCTGGCTTGTGCTCATATAAAGAAGCTAAATCTCCATCATATGTCCTATTAAAATGCCCATTATGTACCCAATGGCATTCAAAAGTCATCATTCCAATTGACAGTACGTATTCAGAATAATGATTCTAG